TGGATGTTTTGCTGCCCTTGTCTAGCTTGGATTAATACTTAGTCCATAGGCACACACCTGATCATCTACATTTGCCCTCTTACAGCACTAAACTATGTTTTCTACCTTTATCTTGCATCTACCTACCACTTCAGCATTTTATTAAAAATAAAAATAATAATAATAATAAAGGGAGAAATGTGGGATCAACATATAAATCAAGTATAAAAATCAAACGAATATTCATATTTGACCTGATTGTTTATAGTTCATAATGCATGATCAAAACCGAAAGTTTCTGTGATGAATGCCCTTGTACTGTTCACCATGTAAGAATTTATTCACTATGTAAGAATTCGTTCACAATGTAAGAACTTGTTCATTATGCTTCAGAAGATTGGAGACTGACGAGAATTAGGCTTGAGATGGATTAATGATTGTACATTGAGCATTGACCGCCCTATACTGAATTTTATTGTTGTTAACAACCATTTGATCAATAAATATGAGAGATGCCCTCAAAAAAAAAAAAAATCCAAAAACATATGTCCACAGCCAAAAACCATTAAAATCACAAGCTACCAAGAATGTGAATATGAAGAAACAAATAAATCCTAAATCAGATCCACAAAAACTATAGATGTTGGGATTATTAGGTAATGAATATAAGTTTAATAAACTTAAAGAAATAAAAAATGGACTCAAAAGGGACAAGAAATAAAAATGACCAGGCAAATTTGAAGGAAAAAAGAAGAAATACTAGAAATAAAAAATTCAGTAACTTTTAGATTTAAAAAAAGGTTAAAAAACTGATTCAATACATGAGACCCATCTTAAGAGAGAATCAATGAACTAAAAGACATGAAGAACTCACCACCAATCTGAAAAGGCTACATACTGTGTGATTCCAACTCTATGACATTTTGGGAAAGGCAGAACTATGGAGTCAGTAAAAGGTTAGTGGTTGCCAGGGATCAGAGGATAGGAACAGACAATAGGCGGAGTGCAGAGGATTTTTAAGACAGGGAAATTACTCTGTATGCTGCCATTATGATGGATACATATCATCACACACAGCATATACAACATCCAGTGAGTCCTAAGTAAACTGTGGACTTTGGGTGATTAGATGTGTCCAGGTAGGTTCACCAATGTTACCAAATTGTGGTGGGGGTGTTGACAATGAGGGAGGCTATGGCTACACGGAGGCAGGGGGATGTGAACTTTAAACTCCTCTTTAAAAAAAAGCCTTAATAGGGAACAAACAAGGAAAACACAAAAAAGAAATCACCCAGCCTTTTGAGAAACAGAACAGATAAGATGAAACAGAAAAGGAAAATCATGGAGGTTATCTAATTAGATTCCAGAAAGTGGTAAAATTAAAAATTAAAGAGTATGTAATTTCCAAACTAACAGAAAAGAAAAAAAGAAAGAGGTACGGTTGTTAAAATGCCTGGGCTTTAATTCTAGCTCTCAATTTCCTATTTAACTAGTGTGATTACTTAACCTTTATGTTATGGTTTTCTCGTATGTAAATTGGGATATAAAACTCAAGCATAGCACAGAACTTAGCACAGAACTCAATGAACGTCACCTGTTAGCAATTTTAAATTTACCTCCAAAATACAGTAAAATAGTAATAAAATTAAGACTGAGACAGGAATGAAATAAGCCTATCTGAATAATGGTTTCATCTTAAAATTTTTGGAAGGGAAAAGATGATGCTTGAATCCTCTTCATTTCTTAATTCTGCTAACATCCTTCTTAAAGGATCTACCCACTGTAGATACCCCTTCTGTTCCTTTTTCATTTACCCATCCTACTCCAGGGCACTCTCCAAATGTTTCCAGATTTGCAAGTGGGTGTGGAAGAAAAGAAAACTACTCCAATTCTTTTATTCCCCATCTCAAGTTTCACTTTGTAGACTAACAAAACAAATAAAGACAGACAAGAAAATCACATACTTACTTTTCATTAGTTTTCCTGATAAGTCCTTTAGTGGAGAAGACGGGCTATTCCTACTGGCTACTGTAAGTCTGGAGGAGGATTCTTGAGTTTCCATGGTAACTTGACGAGTTCCTGTTTTGGCCATTTCAAGATGGAAAGGACAGGCACTGTCACATTCCTGGGAAAGCAACAAGTGCTTCTGAGTTTTGCTAGTTCTATTACTCAGGTCAGTTCCTTCTGAATGAGTCATAAGCAATTGGGCTGAGCTAGAATCCTCCAACCTCTTTCCAAGCGACTCAGTTACAAAAGACGCTGTAGTTTCGTGCTTTTTAGATGGAGAGACAGGCTCAGCCAATGAGCTCTGCTTCACTGTGTTCAGACTGTGTGCTCTTATTCGGGACCAAGTTGTAGAGTGAAAACTTTCAGCCTCTAACCAAAACTTAACCAAATGCTCCATTCTCCGAAGTTCCATGAATTGAATGAAATAAGGGAGGACAGTAGTGTCATGCAAGACTTGTTCAAGGGTCTTTGAAAGACTTGATTTGGTCTCCTGAGTCTGGTAGTCCAGACAAGACCTGCCTAAAAGTAAAAAAATCAGCAGTTCAGTATTAAATAATTTAAGATTGATGGATGAGTCAGTCACCTTTAGCATCAGTGGTAACAGAATTACTGAATAAAGTTTACCTCTCCAGCAATTTAAATGAATAAACAACCAGAAATACTATAGTTTGGGTTTCTAAACAAGCAAAGAAATAACTGTCCAAAACTTGTTTAAATTATTAAAAAGCTCTTTGTTACTCAATTAATCCTCACATCTCATTGAATGGCAATTCAGACCATATAAATTCTGAAGAAAAAAATATCCTTGTATTAGTCACAAAAATAGAAAAAAGCCCAAAATACATTAAAATATTTGACCTCACTAAAAATCCCCAAACAGCAAATTAATACAAGGTAACATTTCTGCCTGTTAAAAAGGAAGATTTTTTTCCCCAAAAAATATAAAAACAAGCAGTAACAAGGGCAGAGTGAAACAGGCAATACGCTCACCCCTGAAGAGAATGTAAAATGACAAAATGTTTTACAGGAGGAGTCACTAACAGACAGCAAAGCCTTAGCAATGTGCATGTTCTCAATCCAGCAACTCCACTTCTAGGAACTTATCCTGAAGAAAAATGGTGAATGTGTAGATATAGCTAGAAAGATGCTATGAACACTTAGCATTATAACAGAATAAAGAGTAGCTCTGGGATTTAATCTTGAAAAATAACACTAAACTTAATAAAACTTAATAAAATTAAGTTTATTTTACACTTGGCTGAATTTAGGTTATGATTATAACTACAAGCTAATTCTTAGAATTAGAAAATCAAAAAAATGTTATTTTTTTATTTTCACAGCATGACATTAACTGAGGGTTTCATCAATATTTCAAAACGGCTTTTTAATCCTGATGTTCAAATGATCTCCTTTTGAAGCACTTCACATATCATCATGCTTGCTGTCTCACTGTGGTAACCAGTCTTTGCCAACATCACTTCCATGAACTTCAGGAAATCCTATCCCTTGCACGACTTAAAATTTTTTTTAATTAAACTTTTAATTTTGAAATAGTGGTAGATCCACATGCAGTTGTAAGAAATCATACAGAAGGCCATGTACTAGTTAGTTTCCCCCTAAAGTAACATCTTGCAAAACTATAGTATAATATTCCACCAAGATATTGACATTGATACAATCCACCAATCTTACTCAGATTTCCCTATTTACTTGTACTCATTTGTATATTTACCTCTATGCAGTTTTATCACATAAGTAGATTCATGTAACCACTACCAAGATACAGAATAGTTCCAATACAAGGATCCTTCATGTAGCCTCTTAGAAACACCTCCCCGGTGCCTAACCTCTCGCAAACACTAATCTGTTCTTTGTTTCTTCATTTCTTCGTAACTTTTTCATTTCAAGAATGTTTTATAAATGGAATCATACAGTGGGTAACATTTTGGGATTGGCTTTTGTATCTCAACATAATTCTCTTGAGATTCATCCAAGTTGTTTATGTGTATCATACAACAGTCTGCTTTTTTATTATTGCTCAGTCATATTCTGTGGTATGGATGTTCTGGTTTGTTTAGTATTTCCCCTGCTGTAAGACATGCAGTTTTTGACTTTTAAGCTGCTATGAACATTGGCATACAGGTTTCTGTGTGAACGTAAGTTTCCATTTATCTGGGATAAATGTCTAATAGTGCAATTGTTGGGTCATATGGTAACTGCATATAAGAAACTTCCAGAATTTTCCAAAGTAGCTGTAACCAGTTTACATTCCAATAGCAACATATAAGTAATTCAGTAAAACTTATAATTTTACTCTGACCAATACAAATATACTACTGAGTGTGACCCACAAAGCCTTTGGAACCTTCACTTTGAATATAAACAAATGTTAAGCAGAGACAGGTCAAAAAGGGAACAAATTACTAGAAGTCAATCCATTCATGGATTTTTTTCAATTTATGATAACATGACATGCAATTTTTTTAAGTGCAGAAATTTGGGTAACAAATAATCAGAACTCAATGATCTCCTGCATATCTTTTATTTTGGGGAGGAAAGGAGGAACTTTTTTAACGTAACAGATTCTACTATACATACCACTAAGGCACCTACTTTTTTCCACTTGACGCTATCTTAGATATTTCTTCATGTCTACCTCAGACTTATAAAAGGCTACACAGTATTCCAAAGTATGGGTACCACAATTTAACTACTTCTCTCTTAATAGATGTTATTTCTGATTTTTTGCTAGTATAAACAATACAGCAATGAGTAGCTTTTAATGTACCTGCATATATATATTTTTGCATATATGTGAGCAAATCTAAGGGTTAAATCTTTATTTTGATTAATACTTGCAAACTACCTTCCAAAACATCTTCACCAATTTATACTTCTCCTAAAGAGCAGTGGCCACTTCTCTGCATCTACACAACATTCAAATTACCAAATTTAAATATTTGCTAATGTGTTAGAAGAAACATTAACTCATTATTTAAATTTGATTTCCCTGAATATTAGTGAAAGAGCATCTTTGCATGTATTTAGTGGCCAAATATATTTCTTCTGGAAATGACCTATTTTTCGACTGGGCACACTTTATATTTTATATTTACAGGAATATACAACACGGTACAATCCATTACACTTACAGCTGGTATTTTAGTTGAAATACATTTTTCCAAAGCCCTTTCCAATAGCACAGTTTAGTATCCCCTGACAGGAATTTCCCATATTCCACTCAAATCCTTCCTCCTATTGGAAGTGAACAAAAAGTCATAGTCACTTACCCAGGTCACCAAAATGAGCAGCTTCCATGTGGCTTGGCTGCTTCTTAAGGGTTGCTGTCCTGCTACTTGAAAAGGAGTCCATGTTTGCAGAAATGGCATTGATTGCAATGTAACTTGGTCCTGCAGCCTCCAGCAAGGCATGATTTTTAGTGCATTTTTGTGGGGAATGTACAGATATTGAAGCTATAATTTTTAAAAAATTGTTAAAAATTAAATGCAATATGATAGTTCAAACTGCCTCATAAAAGGGCTTTAAGAGAACTTTAAAAGTTAAATTTTAACACTTCTCAAGTATGCATACTCAAAAAAAACCAGGGGAAAGTAAATTAATTGAGCAGCAGAAAACTGGAAAGAAAAGCCCTATTATTATTTATAACTCTCAAAATACTCTGCCTAAAGTGAAACTTAAGAGAGAGGTCTTAGAACTTTTATTAAATAGGATACAAAGTACCAAAGCCAGGAAGCATTCTGAAATATGGACTCTTTTCAACTCCTAATCCTCGCTTGCCCAGCAAACAAAACTAAAATTACAGAATAAAAGTTTAGGGGGGAAAACAAGAAAAACAGTCTTTAGAAAATTTATTTTTTAATTGAATAGCAATTTCTTCATCTAATGAAGAACATTTATGGTCAAAGTTCAAGCTGCTTAGAGATAAAGCACACTTAAAAATTCACAAAATGTATTCCCTTTAGTAGTCTGAAGAAATATCCTTTTGACTTCAGAACAAAGAAGCTAGTTACCAATGTGTTATTAGGAAATGATCCAATATAACAATACTGTCAAAGTAACCCTATGAGCTTGCACTACAGCTAAATTAACATTCTACCTATCCATCTTATTTATCCCACACAAATATCAATGACCCTTATTAAATGATATTAAGAAGTTTTAGTTTAGTACACATTGCTATAGCAATCAGGACAGAAATGAGCGGTTAGCATTCCACACCCTCAAAATAAATACTCTAAGATTAACTGAACTTCTATTTCCTAGCACAACTTAATTTTATTGAGCAGTCAACAGCTTAGTGCTCTCAATCTTAGCAAACAGTTTCCAGACAAAGAATCTGAGTAAGACTAGATATTTTTGATGAAGCATACTATGTAATTCAATCTATAACTCTTTGAGCTGTGTTTATAGGATAGAGCACATAAGAACATGAATGTCCATACCTGTTTTCCAGGTATCTATATTTATCTTTCAACAAGAGTTGGCCAAATTATGGAATGGAGTCATCTTCAAATGATTTTTTCAGTTTTAGAAAGAAGTCGTGTTTTGTTTTTATTTTTATTTTCATGATACATTGAAGGGAGCAAAATAATTTTAGAAGTTTAGAGACAATAATAGCTAGTTTTTTTGTATAGACAAAAGCTACATATAACATGCTGTGAGAACAGTGAGACAACATTCTATAAAAAACTGTTTCCTAATTAGATGTGTATAATGATATAAAATGCTATTAATTCATTTGTGTAAGGCTTTTTTTCTTTTCTTCTCTATTAGAACTCACAACTTATTTTACATGTTCATCCTGATATTCTAACTTCCTTTGGTCTCTGTGGCACTACACTCTGCTCCATTTCCTCCTCCATCTCTTCCTCCCTCATTCTTTAGCAAACATTATTAAATGCCACTGTGTCAGATAGGGTCAACTTTCATGACACTTTTCTTCCTAAGATTCTCTGTTACTCTTCTTTTTTTTTTTAAGGTTCTTCTCTTTTATTCTTTCTGTTAGAAAGCACATTTATTCTCAAATATTCAATTATTACTAGAGCAATCTTTTTTAAAACTTTTTTTAACTTGTAAGTGTCCCCCCAAAATAAACTTAAGTGGGACTCTGATATGTCTGTAAAATAGATGAAACTAGATAAGAGATATCTAAAATAGATAAAGAATAATTAACAGTAACTCTGGCTGATCAAGGGGAAATTCTCACACATGCCCTAGATATGGACCCCCTTGGCAACAGCTCACAGGGTGTGGCTCCATGGAACTAGAACCCAGATGGAAAACCCCTGACTTGCATCTCAGACCTGTCCTTTAATCTGGAGTTCAGTCCTGGATCTCTAATATTTACTACTAGCAATTCTCACTTTGACTTTACCATCTCACAACCAATTTGTCCAAATCTCAAATCTCAAACATCATATCATCTTCCAAACTAATTCTTCTCAATTTCCGTCTTTGTTCATTCCACTAAGTCTCCAAAGCTCAAAATTCTGGACTCATTCTTTTTCACTATGTCTGTTTACTTGCCAAGATTTATTTGCTTTTAAGATGTTTAAATGTCTACTTACCTATTCATTTTCAACAGTACACCTTTGTACAGGTCCTTTGATAATACAGCAAAAGAATTTCTATGGTCTCCATCCTATATAACTCTTCCAGGCTCCCCTTTCATAAATGCCATTTGTAAAACATCAGTATCCTCTTCAAAAGGTTTCAGTGAATGGCTGCCTGTTTTGCCTAAACTGCCCAGTATATACTTAAAGAAGGAAGAAGCTGGGCTCGCAGGGGAAAAAGAATCACTTCTTTCATCCAAATCCTTCTTATAATTCAACTTTTATACAATGAAGTCTCATTTCTAAGAAGTCTTCCCTATACTTAAAAAATCATTTGATCTCAAATTCCTCTTAAGTTTGAGCAATCCTTCACTTCACTTAACCAACTGAGGGCCAACTGTTAAAATAAGATATTACTAGCTACCAAAGTGGTACCTACTATGTACCAAGCACTGTACTGGTTTCTCGATGTACGTTTTTGGGAATACATTATTTCTCTCAAAATCTTGCAAGACCAGTATTTTCCTCATTTTTGAAATGAGGACACAAACTGAAAAAAGTCAAGTATTTTGCCTAAGTCAATGAGCTAGTAAAGAGTCATTTCAACAGACAAGATTTCAACTTTGGTCTGTTATATTCTAAAAAATCACTCAGTTTTTCAGATTCTAGAATTACTGTGTGGTTAGATAACATATGTAAATGAATGTCTCTTAAGTATCTCCCACCCAACATACCAAAACTGGACATATTCCCAGCTTGGTTCTCCACCAGTCACTTTGTTAGGCAAGCTAGAAAAAGTAGGTATCAACTTTAAACCTCCTTCCCCTTTACATCTCACATTTAATTAATAACAAAGTTCTATCCACTTTATCACCTAAATTGATCTGTCCAGATCTTTTTATTACCATCACTACTAATCTAGCCCAAGTCATTTTGGAATCATTTGATTAACGTTCCTCTCCCTCCAAATCTGTACATTCAATGAGGGCAGGATCCAAGTCTTTTTGTTCACTTCAACAGCCACAGGTTTTGTCTAACGCCTAGAACAGAATAGGCGCTCATTAAATGACAGTTGTTATTTTGATTTATTTGCTACTGTTTTATAAGTTTGTCTTCTAATTAGACTGCAAACTTCTGAAGGGGCTCTTTCCTATACTGCTTCTGTGTTATTCTAAGTCAAGTTAGTGAATGCTATGCACAGATTATGTACTGTCATAAACTGAGTACAAGCATGGAATTTTTTATCCTGGTACAGATTTAGAAATCAGGTAGGCCAATCCTCTCATTTCACAAATGAAGAATCTGAGAAAAGGTCCATGACTTGCCAAGGTTATACTGTTGGTGGCAGTTTAGGGTAGAAGACTGGTATACCAGAGACATAAAAGCCCTTCCTTTTACTACAGTCAGATCACAAGCCTCTGCTTGTTAAGGGCTTTAAGGCTTTACTAATGCCAATCAAATTTTGCTTAAATAAGGAATCCAACTGGCTTAAGTTATCAGAAATAAGCAGAAATGTAGGTACCTTATTTCTTCCCTAATCTTACAAACCTCTTAAGTTATAATTAGTGTCTCTGGCAAATTAGGCATATAGAGTTAATGCTTGCCACACAATATACAAACATTTGAAAGAAAAATCTAAGTAATAATCTACAGATTTCATGTTAATAAATTACATTTACGAAATGTATATGTAATGGCTATGGAAATAATTTCCATTATATTATTTCAACTACAATCTCTGTACATTGACAATGAATCAATCAGTCAAAACTATAGCAGAAAGCATGCTCTTACCTAAAAATAAGGACAATGTATTGATTCTAATAAAGTACTCTGAATAAATTTTAAGGCCATTCACCCAAAGTAACAGAGATGTGAAAACTGTAATCATCCACAATTCTGGATAAAAAATGGAAAACAAAGCCTTGTACATGGCAGTGCTCAGTGGTCAGACTGCTCAGTTGAGCATATTTTTCACTTTAAAAAAAAATTAAGTTAACTAACCACTTTTAGGAAACAATCAACTGTGATTAACAGGAGGGCATTGGTTTACTGTAATCACAGGAGAGCTAAAAAATGGTCAGTAAAGGCCTGATATATGCTAGGCACTGAGAACCTAGACTAAAAAGGGAAGCAAGCCAATTGCAAATAACTATGAAAGTAGGCAGAAATGATTAATGGCAAAAGAAGGGAGAAGGTAACAGGATTAAAACATCACCTTCTAATACAATGGAATGCTACTGAACTCACCTTTAATTGACTTAACATCTGAAGTCCTCTCTTGTTCTTTGCCTTTCACTAAAAGATAAAAATAGCATAATGACCAACTTTAACACTCAGAAAGAGCCATTCTATGTATTGTAAAAATTAGACAAGACTTATCTAACAGATGAGTATTCAAAGTTGTACCAGGATGAACTAACTGCCTTTGAGGGGGACAGGGCAGGGCAGTAGTCAGGGGGAGTTTCTCTAAGGAGGCAACCGGTGAACAGCAGTCAAGAACACTGAGAAAGACTGTGTCAGACAGTGTTAGAACACCTGAGTTTGAATTCTAGCTCTGCCACTTACTCACCATGTGATCCTGGGCAAGTTACTTTTCTGGGTCTCAATTTACCTTGATTTATAAAATTAGGTCAATAACAACACCTACCTTGGAGGGTTACAGATGAAAAAACACTTGTAAAGAGCTGTGCAGAGTAACTAGCACACAGTAAATTTAGGATGTTATCTAATTTTATTACCACCCACTACTAGATGCACCCTGTGAAGAAAAAGAGCTCTTTGGTTGTATAACATATCTTACTTCTTGTGTGGTCCCTCCACAGCATCAAATATAAAGCATTCTAAACTTCTAATACTTCTAATACTAACACTTTAATAATTTATCTCCTAAGAAATTATATAATTTCTCCTTTATCACACGAAACAGTGGAAACTCTACTGCAGATACACTAATAATATCCAAGAAGGGAAGGTGCATGGCAGCTTAAGCAAAGTGTGAACTCTTACAGGATCTGACATAAGACTTTTTAACCCTCCTTACTTACATTTTTTCAACATTAAATTTTCTTTAATCACACAATGAAAAGTCTATTAAAATAAGAAATTTCTAAATGTAACCATCTTTACACTTGTGCTCTTAAATCTTAAATGTAGAAAGGCTGGTAGCAGGAAATAACTAGCTCTCAGAGTATCTGATAAGTCAATCCATTAACAAATATTTGAGGGCTGTGTATGCACCACACTCTTGACTCAGAAAAGACAGCAGTCCCACCTGCAAGAAGTCCACATGCATGTGAAGACAAACAGACAAAACTAAGTAAGATCATTTTAGGCACTGATCACTGCTGTTAGGAGGATAAAATAAGGAAATGTAGTAGGGTGGCTGCTTTTTGTTGCCCTTTTCAGCATCTGCCAACATTTCCCTCTTGCAACATGAACTTGTCTTGACTTCCATGACACTCCACTCCCCTGTAGTTTCTAGCCTCTCCTTTAGTTTATCCCCTTGCCAACTTCTTTGCCCACTGGGAGTTCCTCAGGGATAGGGTTTGGGTCCCTTTTCTTTTCACTACATATACATATGTGTCCCTGGTGGAATTTATCCATTCTTAAGGCTCTCATTACCATAAATATGCTGTGACTCCTAAATTTGTATTTCTAAATACTTTTGATTTTAGGTTCATGTAGTTTATCATCTACCTGCCATCTTACATAATTACATTTGTCCAAAACAGAACATACCGTCTTTTCCCAAACCTGTTCGTACCTCAGCGTTATCTTCTCTTATGAATGACACCATCTCCCACCAGTTTCTGAGGCTAGAAACTCTGGTAGTTATCCTTAACATGGTCTCTCCCTTACCTCTCACACCCACAACTTGTTCTATCACCAAAATACACTCCCACAGTTCCACTTTTGTCACCTCAATGCATTCTCATCTTAACAATTAGATCTCCTCGTCAGTGTTTTAAACATAAAAGTGCATATACACAGCCTGACCTTACCAAATATTAGCGTTTTGCCTTATTTCTTTCCACCCTAAATATTATAAAGTTTCCTATGAGTCACTACCCAATCCCATTGCTTTTTCCCTTCCCAGAGGTAAATACTACCCTAATTTAGACGTGTTTACTGCCACATTATGTTTCTAGACTACTACTGCATACTACTTAAGTATTTAAAAAGTATTTAAGAAAACATGGTATTATTCTGCATGTCTTTTTATCTGATACTTGTATTCATTCAATAATTTGACATTTGTCTAAACTGCTGGCAATTCTAACATAGTCATTTAGTTTTAGTTCATTTATTTAACTGTGTAATTCCTTTAAATAAGCATACCTTTAGGTTTTCCTCTTAATGAAGTTTCAGGTTTTATTTTCTATTTTTCACCATCATAAACATTGATGTGATAAACATTCTATTACATGTCTTATTATGTATATACGTAGGAATTTCTCTAGGATAAGTCTCTAGAAATGGAACTGCTAGGCAAGAAATTATGTAGATTTTTAATGAAAGCAGTTTATATCAATTTATACTCCTATCACCAAGCTTCCTCTTCTCATCCTTGATATTTTTAATTTTCACCAAATTGTTTTCAAATGGTACTGCGTATTTTTAATTCATTTCCTTGATTTCCTTTGAAGTGACATCTTTTCATGTTTATTGGCTATATAGGTTTCCTTTATGGCTGCCTATTCATGTCTTTTGACTTTTATTTGTAGAAATTCCATACATATTCTGGATACTAATTCCTTTTTGTTTGTGTTACAAATACCTTAGGTAGAAGTTTTAAATTTTAATGTAGTCAAATTTACATTATGTAGATAGTATTTTCCTGTGTCTCATTTAAAAATATCCTTTCCTACCCCAAGATCAGATTTATCCCCCTATATTTTCTTTTATATGATTTCAATTTTTGTCTTTTCAAATTTGGGGCTCTTATTTACCTGGAATTTATTTCTGTGTATCAGGGATTGGCAACTACATCCCATGAGACAAATACAGTTCACTACCAGCTTTTTGTAAATAAAGGTCTTATTTCTGTACAGCCATGTCCATTTGTTTGCATACTATCTATGGCTACAAGGATAAAGGAGAATGAGGCAGAGACCACATGGCCTACAAAGCCTAAAATATTGACTAATTGGCCTTTTACAGAAAGTTTGCTGACCCGATGTATATTACAAGAGGCAGGAAATAGGTGTTTTGTTTAGTAAGCCTCTTGTGGGGCCAATTCCTCTATCTTGTTCTTTTTCAAAACTGTCTTCCATATTAATTATAGGATCCACTTGTCCTGATCCTAAAACCACTTAAAAAAAAAGGAATTTCTTTTTAAACATCGACTTAATGATTAATTTGGGAGAGAGTTCCTATCTTTCTAGTATTTTGTCCTTCTACCCATGAACATAGGATACTTCATTTACTTGGGTCTTCTTTTATGTTCTACTATGTTTTGTAAACTCCATAATGATTTCACAGCCTTTTGTTTTTACTGGCATACAGGGATACAGCTGAGTTTAAATACTTATATACAAATGGCTACATTTTTAAAAGCCAGCCAAACTCTGTAATGAGTTCTAATGATATATATATGTAGGTTTTCTTCAATTTCCTATAAATAGAATCGTTATCTAGGAATAAGGCCTCTCTTGTTCCCCATCTCTTCCAAAACTTAACTTATCCTTCTTTTGTGTGTATGTGCCATTGTGAATACGAATTAGCTTCCTTTTTGTATACCCCCACTATATTTTTCCACCTTTTTACTTCTAACCTTCCCATGATCCATTTTTTAAATTCATTTTATTATTAATCCACAATTACATGAAGAACATTATGTTTACTAGACTCCCCCCTTCACCAAGTCCCCCCCACAAACCCCATTACAGTCACTGTCCATCGGCGTAGTAACATGTTGCAGAATCACTACTTGTCTTCTCTGTGTTGCACATCCTTCCCTATGCCTCCCCCCACATTAGACATGCTAATCGTAAGGCCCCCTTTCTTTTTCCCTGCCCTTATCCCTCCCTTCCCACCCATCCTCGCCAGTTCCTTTCCCTTTGATAACTGTTAGTCCATTCTTGGGTTCTGTGATTCTGCTGCTGTTTTGTTCCTTCAGTTTTCCTTTGTTCTTATACTCCACATATGAGTGAAATCATTTTGTACTTGTCTTTCTCCGCCTGGCTTATTTCACTGAGCATAATACCCTCTAGCTCCATCCATGTTGTTGCAAATGGTAGGATTTGTTTTCGTCTTATGGCTGAATAATATTCCATTGTGTACATGTACCACATGTTCTTTATCCATTCAACTACTGATGGACACTTAGGTTGCTTCCATTTCTTGGCTATTGTAAATAGTGTTGTGATAAACATAGGGATGCTTATGTCTTTTTCAAACTGGGCTGCTGCATTCTTAGGGTAAATTCCTAGGAGTGGAATTCCTGGGTCAAATGGTAAGTCTATTTTGAGCTTTTTGAGGAACCTCCATACTGCTTTCCACAATGGTTGAACTAATTTACATTCCCACCAGCAATGTAGGAGGGTTCCCCTTTCTCCACAACCTCGCCAACATTTGTAGCTGTTTGTCTTTTGGATGGTGGCGATCCTTACTGGTGTGAGGTGATATCTCATTGTGGTTTTAATTTGCATTTCTCTGATAACTAGCGATGTGGAGCATCTTTTCATGTGTCTGTTGGCCATCTGAATTTCTTTTAAGAACTGTCTGTTCAGCTCCTCTGCCCATTTTTTAATTGGATTATTTGCTTTTTGTTTGTTGAGGTGTGTGAGCTCTTTATGTATTTTGGATGTCAATCCTTTATTGGATCTGTCATTTATGAATCTATTCTCCCATACTGTAGGGTACCTTTTTGTTCTATTGATGGTGTCCTTTGCTGTACAGAAGCTTTTCAGCTTGATATAGTCCCACTTGTTCATTTTTGTTTTTGTTTCCCTTGCCCAGGGTGATATGTTCATAAAGAAGTCACTCATGTTTATGTCCAAGAGATTTTTGCTTATGTTTTTTTCTAAGAATTTTATGGTTTCATGACATACATTCAGGTCTTTGATCCATTTCGAATTTACTTTTGTGTATGGGGTTAGACAGTGATCCAGTTTCATTCTCTTACATGTAGCTGTCAAGTTCTGCCAGCACAAACTGTTGAAGAGACTGTCCTTTCCCCATTGTATGTCCATAGCTCCTTTATCATATATTAATTGACCATATATGTTTGGGTTAATGTCTGGAGTCTCTATTCTGTTCCACTGGTCTGTAGCTCTGTTCTTGTGCCCGCACCA